AGCCATTTTGCTTATATTTATGCTTTTAGCAAGAAATATTTGAAAACTAGAGTCATATTCTTTAAGAATATCTCTTGAACTTGAAGCAGAATCTGAAATAGAAATCTTTTGAACTTTTTGAACTTCCTCTTTGAGTTTAAAATTGTTTTCTTTAAGTTCTGAATTTTCTGTTTCAAGTTTCTCAAAATCAGATGCAATATTCTTTTTGAGTTTCTTGTATTTGATTTTGAGTTGACTGTAGTTTTCAAGAAGTTCTGATAAGCTTTCTACAAGTTTGGCTCTAGAGAATTCAGAGAATACCTCTTTCGGTTCTGAATCAGAGTCTGAGTTATCATCATTTGTTGTGGTATCCATAAATGCTAGGTTAGCATGCTCATCTTCTGAGTCAGATTCAACTTCAGAAGATTCTGAATCATCCCAGGTGGCCACCATTCCTTTCTTTCTTCCAAACCTTTTCTTTGGTCTTTCTCTTTGTAGCTTAGGACAATCACTTCTGTAGTGTCCTGCTTCTTTACATTCATAGCAGACTAAATTTCTTCTGCTTGACTTCTTATGACCAGAAGATTCTGGTTTATCTTCTGACCTCTTGTAGTTTCTGAACTTCTTTTGTCTGTGCTTCCACATCTGGTTGATCCTTCTAGAGAGCAGAGATAACTCATCTTTTTCTGATGCAGAGTCTTCAGAGTTTCCTTCTTCTGTCTGAAAAGCATTAGTTTCACATTTTTTAATAGATTTAAGGGCGACAAAATTTCCTTTCTTCTGAGGCTCATGTTCATCAAGTTCTATCTCGTGACTTATTAATGCACTGATAAGTTCTTCAAGAGATACATCATTCAAATCTTTTGACACTTTGAATGCAGTAACCATAGGTGCCCATCTTCTGGGTAAACTTCTAATAATTTTCTTAACATGGTCCGCCTTGGTGTATCCTTTGTTCAGAACTCTCAGGCCAGCGGTCAGAGTTTAGAATCTTGAGAACATAGCTTCAATGGACTCATTTTCTTCCATTTCGAAGGCTTCATACTTCTGGATGAGAGCCAGAGCTTTTGTCTCTTTTACTTGAGAATTACCTTCATGAGTCATTTTGAGAGACTCAAACATGTCATGTGTTGTATATCTGTTGGTGATTTTCTCATATTCCATTTTAGAGATAGCGTTCAGAAAGATATTTCTGGCTCTGTGGTGATTTTTGAAATCTAATTTCTGTTGTTTATCCATGTTCTTTCTGTCAATCTTGTTTCCGTCTTTGTCTTCTGGATGTGTGTAACCATCTAGGACCATATCCCATAAATCAGCATCATGACCTAGAAAGAAACTTTTTAGTCTATCCTTCCAGTATTCAAAGTCTTCTCCATCAAACACAGGAGGTTTGATGCATTTTTGTTGTTTTGTTCAGTTGCCATAGTGTTTTCCTTCTGGATCTTTTTCTGACACTGTTAGGTGTTTGCACCCAGAACTAGAGCTCCGATGCCAATTGAAGGGTGAGAAAACACTTAGAAGGGGGGGGGGGGGGGGGGGTTGAATAAGTTTTTCATTTTTCTCATGCAATAATAATGGAAGGACACGTGTATTTTTATCCTGGTTCGTTTGAAACTCAAACTACTCCAGTCCACCCGCCAAGGTGATTTTGCCTCTCTCAACGAGGACTTAATCCACTATAATCAAAACTAATTACAAATGCATAACCAAACTGTTGTGACTAACAATATAATACACAAGCCAAATGCAAGTGACTAACACCTCTAAGACTCAACTAGTCCTAGCCCTCTTGAGAAATCTAACCCAACTGGTCTCTCAAGGAACAATTACAATGCACAACCAAACTGTTGTGACTAACACCTCTAAGACTCAACTAGTCCTAACCCTCTTGAGAAATCTGACCCAACTGGTCTCTCAAGGAACAATTACAAAGATTATCTCTTGACACTAGTGAATCAGAATTCTTCTAATAAGCTATATCACAAACTGTGATTTATCACTAAGATTTTCGCCCAGTACTTAAGAATTACCCACTATATACAAAGAGTTTACAAGAATGAAAGTAGTGAGCTTCAATATATTTTGCGTGGATCAGTAACCTTGCTTTGAAACAAATGGTCTTCTATATATAGCTTCAAATATTGACCGTTACTGCCTTAAAGAGAGAGTATGCATTAATGATGCGTGTTAGCTTGATCTTTATGTTTCCAATGCTCTCGTGCGTAGTACCACTTGAGTGCGTTAGCCGTCTTAGCATTAAATGATCAACGGTACTGTCAGAGCTTGTCTCTGGAAGTTTAAGAGTTTGCTTGCAGCGTTGCAACTTCAGAGTTTTCTTTAACTTTTCTTCTATCAGAGTTTGCTATATCACTTCTTCTGTCAGAGTTTTCTTCATTTTATGTTTATCAGAGTTTGCTTCAGCTTGCAGTATCAGATATTGATTTCAATGTGCTTCTTTCAAATCTTTGCTTCAGCTAGCTTTATCAGAGGTTGCTTAAGATTACTTTTCATCAGAGTTTGCCTTGGAGTGCTTCCTTCAGAGTTTGCTTCAGACTTGTGTTTACATAAAATTTCTTAGGAACTTCTTTATCCTTTTGCTGCTCAGCGTAGAATGATGTTTCACTTTTGAGAATGCTTGAGTCAGAACATCATCTGAATTAGAAAACATGCACATCAGAGTATATAATATATTATAGAAAATTTATTTCATTGTTATCATCAAAACTCTAAGATATGATTAGAACCAAACTTTGTTCTAACAGACCCATCTGAACAGACCTCCAACGGTGCCCTGCTGAAGATGAAAGTAATAGAAAACCAAAGGGACGGTGGCCCCAATCTTCAAAACATCACACACACTCTCAAAATCCCACAGAAAAAATCTATGAGTTAGGATGAAGTTGCGAGGGAGCAAGGCGAGGATAGTAAAAAATGGCCATCTGAAGGTCGGTGAAAGGAAGCCAGGACCCCAAGTCTCTGAGAAGAATTTTGTACATATGGAAATGGTTGACGTCATACTTCGAGCAGATACGGTGATGCTTCCTGGGGACGTAAACAACCCATCCTCATCAACTTCCTCTAGCTCCATCCTTGGGGCCAAAATTGTGAACACTTCCTCCAGGTGCTCGGTGAAGTAGGAGGAAATCTCTCGAGGACCCGGTGCAACCCAGTCCATGGAAGCCACGGGTGCCTCGCGCACATTCTGCTCGGGTGCGTTTTGTCCCGACGGGCTCAGCCCAGAATCATATCGCCCCAACGTATTATCTTCAGTCTAAGTACGCTCGGATGAACTCTATTCCGAACCACTTTGCTCGCTCATAACTTTGTCTTCGGTGCTACTAGCCATTTTACCTGAAAAGCAGAGGACGAAAATGAATTTGACATCAAATCAAATTCACCCTTCCACCGCTAATCAAGTGAAAGAGAGCGCAAGGGAACGAGGACCATGTCCCCGACCAGAGCCCTCACTTAAAACAATAACAAACGAGCATAAGGAAGATTCCCTCTAACGCGTTGGGCGCCTACCCGCCAGGCTAAACCCTAACACGCGCGAGGAGTAATTTCCCCAACAGTTGGGTTTTAAACCTCACTTGGGGGTTCACCGGAAACGCGTGAAGGTCATAACCAGAAATTTACTTGGCCGGGAAGGATTAATGACGGAACGAGCATAAAATTCGACGGTGAACAACGACGCTTTGCAGAACTATAAAAAACGGGCATGAGAAAGCAAGCGAAAAGTACAAATGAAGCTTCCTCTCTCCCATTTATAGGCAGCTTTGTTGGCACGTGAGCGAGCATGCGCCTAAGGAAGCCTAGGGGTCGTCATCATTGTGCCCTAGTCCCTAGATTTGCCGTCATCACGCATTAATGATAGCACATGGCTCGATGCAAGTATGGCACACTATCTCTCAGAGTCCAATCAACCATTCGACTCCCCGCGCACTGAACACAAGAGACCACGTTCGGGCTTCCCGACACAGTTGCCCCCAAATGCATCCCGAAGCATCCTCGATGAGCACCAAAAGCATCGCCACCTCCTCAACACACGGGCTAACTCTAAATCATCACTCTTATGCCTAGGAGCAACGACCTGGGGAGCTCATGTTCTAGACTGGCCCAATGGCTAGAATTGACCCAATCTGCTTCTACCCTCAGCATGGTCCAACAACTTTGACCCAGTAACTCTGGTCTTCGGTCGAACACACGTGGTCGATCACACCACAAGAATAGCGAGGATAATGATGCCCTGATCATACATCTGCCCGCATCGACGTCCACCTCTAGGTCTGCTCGACACTCGTAGAATAGACAACTATAAAGCGCCCATAAGCACATCTGCCCGTAATCTCCTCCTTGCTCGAAGCAATAGCTAGTTACGAGCACGACTGTCCGTTTTGACCAAGTCCTGACAGTTACCTATTTTTGAGGAACCTAATATCTAAGCCCAAAATTAAGAACCAATAGTCAAGCGTCGGGAGAATTATATAAACCTTCACACTTATGAGAGCCATGTATCCACGATTCTACTCTACTAAACTCTAATCTCTTTCTTGTATCTCTTTGCACTCTTTCTTACTTGATCGTCGGAGTGCTTTACAGGTACATCCCTCTCCTCTCCATAAATTTCCAGCCAAACAGACGTCATCTTCTCGACCCACTTTAGGTTCTGATCAACCGGTAAAATCAATTATCTTCTTCATAACGAGGATGGAGTAACAATATCTGATGATGTTTGCAATAGTTAGGCTGGTGTTTCAATTTTAAAGACTCTTTTTATTCAAGAACACAATGATGTTTGTGATGCTCTCAAAGTATATATAGACTATCGGATTCATACATTTAATTAAGTGTTGTTTTAGCACCCAAAAAAAATCTAATTTTTAATTTTTTATAATTTTGTACTTTATTAGAAAGAATACCCAGAACTAAAAGATGAAGATCTTTATCGCTATGCTAGATTGGTAACATCAGCTGTGATTGCGAAGATTCATACCATAGATTAGACTGTGGAGCTGCTTGAAATGGACACTTGCAGGCATGCGAGGAAATTGGTAAAAACACATATCAATTTATGCTCTAATAATTAAATTATAGTAATATAATATTTATATTGATGTGTTGATATATAGCTCAAATATAATAATTTTGATGTTCATTTCATTAATTTGTAACATGATACTTTAAACCATGATTTTGATCTTAGGTATGGATCATTGGGAAAGTCATTCAAGGACAAATTTGGGCATGTTGGAAACTACTTCTTGAGTGGAATGGCTGGCATGAAAAAAATCAAAAAATCATGGGAGTTTCATACTCTTTTACTGAAGAATTTGTTAGTGTCTATGGAATGCTTGCACTCCTACCTAATTCTCTGCAATCGAGAAACATATCTTCCTCTCCTGGACATAACAAATCTCCACCATTAATTAAAGAGTATGACAATAGTTTTGCAGCATCAAATTTTATTATATATTTTCAATTATAACAGCATCACAAACTTTAACAATTCATTTTATAATCAATAAAGAATTTTTGTTGTGTTTGTGTCACTAAAAAAAATTGTAACTCCAAAAGTCTTTACAAAATCTCTTTTGATATTATGTAGGATTCATATGAATGATCTCATTGGACTACCAGGAGAAAAGACTTTATCGGAGATAGGAATTGCAAGAACATTAGTATCAATGGGTCACCAAGCTTCTGGAGCCCTAGAGCTTTGGAACTATCCATCATGGCTTAGAGATTTAGTACCACATAACTTAGATGGAACAGAAAGATCTGATCATGTGGACTTAGCTGCTCTTGAAAGTAGGACTTATGAGTCGCAATTGTCACATCAATTTCATTTCTTAACTTAAATGACTTTAAACTAACAATATAATTTGATATAATAAATGATACAGTTTACAGGGATAGAGAGGGGAAAGTAGCAAGACATACCAATGGGAAATTTTAACTGATACCTATTTCAAAATGGGAAAATTTAACTGAGGATGAGGAAGTAATTAAAGTGTTGAAAGAGGTATATGGAGATGATGTTGAGGAGCTTGGTACGCAAGTAGGTCTCGTGACAGAGAAAAAGATAAAAGGTTTTGCAATTAGTGAGACAACTTTTATGATATTTCTCATCATGGCAACTAGGTAAAAAATAACAAAAAATTTATTTTCTAGTTTACACCTTTATAATGTTAGAGATATTTACAGCACAATATATTATACTTGAGATTTATTGAATTTGTTTCGTGATTAAACTTTCATGAACTTTGAAGGAGGATAGAAGGTGATAGGTTTTTCACAAGCAACTATAATGAGGAGACCTACACTAAAAAGGGATTGGAATGGGTGAACACAACCGAAAGCTTAAAGGATGTGATTGATCGTCACTATCCTGAAACGACAAACAAGTGGTTGAACGCTTCAAGTGCTTTCTCAGTTTGGAAGGCACCTCCAAACAAACATAATTCTATTCCACTTTACCTTCGTGTTCCTAATTAATCAATTTCACCATGCGTTGAAAAGAGTGTTAAGAGAGTTGTTAATATTTATTTGTTGTGTTTGTATCTATGTTTATTCAAAACAATCTTATTTTAATGAGTGTGGCAACTCATCTAGAAAAAAAAAAGGAATGGATAGCTAGAAAATGATATGAAAAAGTTTCAGAAGAACCAAATAACCAAGTTTCTAGAAGAAACAATGATTAGAGGCCGTTAATGAATGTTTCTCCTTGCATTTCCTCTATATAGGTTTCTGCCTTGTTTTCTTCCTTACGTTTAAGTGGTTTTCCCTTTTACTACAGTAATTTGTATTTCCAACCAAGAAATGGTTATGATGAAAATTTAAGCAAACTTTAAGAAAATAAAAGAGAATTTGAAAAACAGAACAATATTCCGAATTTCTCAGCATCAGTTTCTGATGCAAGAGGATTTTATACCGTACTCAATTTCTATGTATCAAAGAGCCAAAATGCGTGACAAAAAAGTAATTGTATAGCAGAAACAACTAACTTTAACTAACTTCAACCCTCATAGATTCAGTTAATAAAATTTCGAGGGCAGCATAAACTGCAACATTTAAGTAATATTAGCTAGTGATTCACATTGGCTGAAAGTGTCCATTACCAGAGGATGATATCTCAAATCACAATCTTAGTCAAAAGATAGAAAATTAGATTTGACACAAGGGACTCAGGCAAATAATTTGTTCCCTTGACCTATTTTGCAGTCTTACTTTCCCAACTAATCAATAACAGAAACCAAACATTTGAGTAATATAATATGGCCCTACAGTGTCCTGGTGATTGAGAAGCACTGGTAATTGAAGCTAGAGTACAAAATTTAATCCTCCAAAAGCATCACCTCAATGTAAACGATGAACATATACACTTCATATTATCACTATAATTTAGCTAAGCTAGGTTCATCGACAAAGAAGTTATGTAAAATTGAAGTGTCCGTATCAAAATCTGTAGGCTTGTAGCTGGAGGATGTTATTAGATATGGAGATACCATCCCCAATAAGTAACTGATTAAAATGAAAGTGGCTTCGATTTCCCAATCTTAAAAGGGCTGATCAATCAAAGTATTCATCAACAGAAAGTTTGATGAAACTCTATATGCTACTATATGTCAATAAACATATAGGCACACTTTGGATTCAGAGTCTGATCAAATCTAAAACCCCCATAATACAACAATCTGACAACAGGTATAAAGAAAAATAAATGAATAAACTTTTTCATCAAACTTTCAAGATGTTTTCTTAATGAATCAAGTTCAGTTAAGGTAGTAAACATGTTTCACATTATAATATTTCACAGAAATACTAATGCAATACCCTTTTGAATTGATTAGAGAATCTCGAATAAACAAAACAACAAAAGCTACTGACAACGCTCTAATACAGTACCCTTACAAATTGATTAGGAAATATCGAATATACAAAACAGCAACAAAAGCTACTGACGATGCTATTAGTTTCATGTGTCACAACCATTTTCTTCTCTTTGTTAAACGTCATTTGCAAATCAACGTCCATTACCGTGTTTTCTAATATCTTACAAACACGAAACACAACAGACATGCATAAGCACTAAATCTAATCCTGGTATACAGATACTTCTAAATTGCATAACATCACAGAAGTGTCAAATGCCTAAAAGAACTCACATAACTGATATCTAAGCTAGGATCATAGCACGAAACCATGAATTAAACGAAACACTATGAATTAGAATTACCATAACTGAAATGTTCATAGCAGGATATAGATACTCGAAAACAACTGGAACGCATCCAATACCACATCAATGGCAACAAAGGAGGCCACAGTCAATAACAGCTATCACATTTAGAAACAGTTTGAATAGAAATCTCAAAAAACACTTACGTAAAAGATTAAAAAAAAACTTGAAAAGAATCTTACAATATCTATGAAATTTTTAAACACAGCTTCCTCTCATATAACTTGAGATTAGTCATATTTGAATGAATACATTGTCATAAGCAAATAAGCATAAACTTACTTCAATCGAGAAGCTTTCATAACACAAAAGCTAATCCAAACTATGCCTTAATAGAGAATAATTTCCAAACTTCTCAGAAATCAACAATGAGATAAGACTAACTCCAATAATAATTTAGAACCAAAGTTTTTAACCATAGTGTGATATCTTAATCTAGTAGAAACTAGCAGAAAAATACAGTCACAATTGCAGTTATAAACTACAAATAAAAAAATTGACTAGAACCATTTTCCATGAAGATAATTTGAATTAATTGTAAAAGAGCAATACAAGACATAATCTCCTCACAACATACGCTTACAATCTGTGTAGCACTGACACATCAAATTGAAGACTTCTCTAGTGTCCAACATGTGTCGGTCACTGACACGAGTGATCACATTCAATCAATGTTGTCAATTGCATATAGTGTGCCTGGGATACTACAAAATTCACAGTGGCAACACATGTTTAGCCAACTCTCCAGTTTGTAGCTTAGAGATTTTTACGAAAATAGAGGTTTAATCATGCAGTGGAAACTTGCAACGAAGTACCGCTGAACCAAACAAGATAGCAAAAACTAGCGTTTGTTCAAAATCTGCTATGCTGATTGCTATCAGAGCATTACAGCTACTATTAGACAAACTTCATACTAAATAGGGTATAGTAGTATAATGGGGATTTGTTCAAATTCGGCTACACTACAGCCCTATTTGATAACCATGCATTCAATCACTTTCATTTGCTTATATTATTTCTACAATCTATGTGTCTATGTGTCTGTGTCGTTAATGGTATCTATGCTCCACAGCTTAAAATCCAACTTTCCAAAACTACTCATCATAATTCATAAAAACAATTCCTCCAAAAAAGTTCCAATTTAGGAATAACTCAACTAACATCAACAACAACTACAACCAAAATTTTTAAATTAGTAGCGTCGTGTCAGATGTATTCGCTTCACAGTTATTAATCCAACCTCCAATTTTCTAAAACTAATCAACATAATCCATACACAATTCCTCCAAAATCAGTTCCAATTTAAGAATCACTTAATCAACAACAACAACAACAACAACAAAAATATCTTATTACAACAAACTAACATACAGACAAAATTAAGCTACTAAAAGATTCAAACCAAAAAAAAAAAAAAAACTCAATTCTCTATAAAGTTACTGTTATTACCAAGCACAAAGGAGAAAATCTCACGAACCGGCGAGAATTGGACGAGCGCAACATCAACAGCATAACCAGCAACCGGCAATTTAAGCTCTCTAAGAAGCGAAAAAGCTTCCGCCATTCTCTGTTTCGGCACACGATTCGCAACAGCGCAATGCGGAATCCAGTTCCCTGCCAAAAACTCCTCAGAAAGTTCAATCCCTTCCTTACGAACCGCGTCCACAAGATTTGAGTGAAAATTAAGGAGAGAAATCGATGGAGTAGGTGAGAGAAACAGAACGTTGTTATCGTTGGAGAACGAAGAGATCGAAGAGAAAGAGAGAGGGAACGGATCGAATTTGGAAGTTAGGGATTTGAGAAGGGATTCGAGTTTGGAAGGTTCTAGAAGGAAGGGAGTTGAGCAGAGTGTGATGTGAGGGCGTGATCCGATTTCGATTAACTCCGTGCTGATTTGGCGGCGGGCGAGGACGTTCCAGGCTTTCAGAACTTGGTTTTCGAGGGCGGGATCCATGTAGAGCTCGATCGCGTAACCTTCTGAAGAAGAAGACATTGGAATCGGAAATAAATTTAGAATGTGAAAGAAGAAAGTTTTGTGGCTATTTCAGTGGGGGAGGAAAAAAAATTGTATTTGTTAATTTTTAGATCAATTAATTCAAATTAATTGAACTAATCTTTTAAACTCATATTTGCAAATAGAAGAATTTGTAATTGGTAGAAAATGCACACTTAAGCTCTGTGAGGATTTTCTTTTGGGATATGTCTAGAATGTTTCTGGTGATGCTACTGGCTGTTTACAGTGATTTCTGGTAAACAACCGCTAGTCCTCCAAACTATCGAATAATCTTACTGACTGTTATTCAATCTCTCTGGTAACTCGCAGGATCGACTAGATTGATCATAGGATGCATTGGTTATTAGGGTAACTCTCATGATCGAACTGGTATTCATGGTTGGTATTTAGAATGTTGTGTAGGTGCTTAACTTACTTCGAAAAATCTAAAGGTGTGATCAAGTAAATGTGCGCGAAACTAAATTGCATGAATAAAGGTCAATTGTAAAGACATGTAAAAACTGCATAAAAGACAAGTAAGTGACTTCGAAGCATAAAAGCAGTTAATGTAAAAGATTCTCTGGAATGTTAAAGATTCGAAATATGAAGAAAGCGTTTAAATGCAAGAAAACTGTAAAATGACTTTAAGTAAAAAAAGGTGTTCGAATGATAAAAGCTTGAAGATAAAGGCATGAAATGTATAACAGTTTCTGAAATGTAAAGTATTTGAAATGGAAAGAAAGCATTTAAATGTAAGGCATCAGTAAAAGACTTCGAATGAAAACATTTTAAATGCAAAAGCTTGTAAATGGTATTGACATAAAGATAAAGGAAAGTACTGGAAATGATAAAGAGTTTTCATTGAATCATAAACATGTGGTGTTATCATACGTACATTGCTCGTGCATTCGTTTCCCTAACCATGTGGTAATTTGAATGTTTACTGAGTTTTTTGTACAATAGATATGACACACGAAATCCTAATGCTAAGACTTCTATTTATACTACTTCGACCATAACGGTCTTGCTATAAGATTCTGCCACGTTCAGAACATGCAGAGCAATGCCTCTCTCTTGCTTCCACGCGTCTTCGAATGCTCCAGCGCATATATTTCAAATTTCGAACATCCCGCTTGCATTTGAATTTCAAATGTTTTGGCACTTCTTCGCTTCGAACGCATTTCTTAGACACAGCCTTGTTATCATTTCGAGGCTTCTTTGAATATACTCTCATAACTGTCACTCGAAGCTCCAAGCTTTGAT